GTTACTTTTATAATAATAAATAAAGAATAAATATAAAAACAAGAAATAAAGTACTTAGTAGAATATCTGTTTTTTTTTTGCTTTCAGCTGTTGATGATAACTTAACCCTACTTTTTTTGTACAATTGGTACTATTACACTAAATAATTTTTTACTTAATTAAATAATGCACCAAAGAATATAGACTAATAACATGCAAAAAGTAGATAAATTCATTTATTTCTAAAAATTTTCCTGGCTTTCTAACTATGTGGCAAGAGCCGTTACAAATTCATCCAAGCTAGTCGTTAACTTTCCCGTGGGAACAATGTTGCTACTCTGAGTGAAATTGATGCTTATCTGTTCAGAACACAATGTTATACAATACGCCATTTGATAGATGAAAACTTGGACTTTCTATTGGTTATAGGTAATATATAATGAAACATAAGAGAAAACTATCAACGAATTGTAAAAGAGAAAATGTGGCAGGAAGGGTCTGATTTTCTATTTGATAGCTCTGTAACCAAACAGAATTGAAGGCTATAAAAATTATGGTCTGTTTCAGCAATAATGATTTTATAAAGAGTATTTTACGTTTAATTTCGTACATTTTCAAGGGATGATGGATAAAATAGGGATGATGACATGCTAAGACAAAATGTGTCACGTATGTCACTTCTAGTGGAAATTCAGGATTTTTGTTTATATATATTCCTTGTAGAATTAAGAACTTAAAAATTATATACTATTAAAATATGGATCAATAGCTAATATTTTATTCTATTCTAATTGGTATAACATAAACAAAAAGTAGCTTAATAAAATTTTGAATGTAAGACACTAAAACTGTGTCATGCGCAGTAAAGTATACCCAGTCCGATAGGGTGTATTAAACCAAATTGAAACAAAATATGAATTGCATGAAATTTACTCATCCACAGTTTTAAATGTTATATAATGTCAAAGGTCAAAGTACAGTGCCGAACATTAAAGAAATCCATCGAGAGATTTTGCAGGATCAAGTAATAAGAAAAATATCTCTGAAAACAAACCAAATACCTAAACCTCAACAATGACTTTTTATATTGTAAGTATAATCATTTTGAAGTTTTTGTAATCTAATCGTACATGTGATACTGCTGAATGTATGACTTATTTACATTTTAGGTTGTAGGAACCGGTATTCTAATGTTCACCGTTTTGGCAGTTATTGACGAACGCAACGTAAAATTTCCGCTCTGGGGCGCTGCTATCGCTCTTGGTTTTATGATTTGTGCTCTGGCTATGTGCTATGGTGCGAACTGCATGGCTGCTCTAAATCCTGCTAGAGACTTTGCAACCAGAGCTTTCACAGCAATTGCTGGGTGGGGCGCCGAACCGTTCAGGTGAGTAGGAGCTCTTTAAATAGGTTCATGTAGTATTAGGTATCATGATGTCCGTTACGAAGAGTAAATAATCACTAATAAACGAATTTATTATGGATTATTTTATGGCTATATTTTCTTGTGCACAATCTATTAATCGTTTAATATATTTTGAATTCTAATATATTTGAAAATTCTATCACAATTAAGAAAATAGAATGTTTTAAGGGAATAAGAAATGCATTTCGTAAATATAGCATATAGAAAGTACAAAACTTTTATTAAGATCATTTAATAAGAGTTATTTATTTGTTGTGGCTTTAACATGTGAAGTAAAATGCTAATGATTTTCTACTTTTTTTGCAAATAAGGAAACTTCCTAATCTACACATTTATTTTAGGTTTATTTGTTTTCATACTAAATGTTGATACAGAAAAAATAATGTTTATATGTGGAGAAATAGTAACACCGAATTTTGCTGATTTACTATCGGTTTCAGTTTAGTAAGCATTATACTTTCAGAAATCCTCGACAGCTCCTCATCACCAGCTCAACTAACTATCACAAAGTTCTCGTTAGTAATTGTAGTGTTACATTTGGAACATATCGTGCAATAATTGATGGATTCTCATGTTTCCAAGGAACAATGTTATTTTATAAGATAAGATGACCACCTGGGAAGGTTGTTTATAGTTAAGCACAAAGCTATACAATAGGCTATGTGTGCTCCTCCCACCACGAGTATCGAAACCCGGTTTCTAGCAGCGTAAGTCCGCAGACAAACTGCTGTGCCACTAGGGGGCGCCTAGGTAGAATACTGAAAGCAGGATAGTTGAAGAAGTAAGGGAGAAACTGAGCCTCATCGAATCAGCTCTGGTATCTAACTGATAATCACGATCAAATTCTGACTTTATTTTGAAAGCAGCATAACTGTAACAATATTGAAATCATACATAACAATTATAAGCAATAGCGTTTGTGCAAAATATTTTGCTCTAAGAATGAATTTCTTTCTTTTGTTTTTAACGGACAGTTACTTAACTGTGGCCTTTATGTTTCAAACTCCTTTGAATTATTGTACCAAAGTTTCTGATTGTCAGTCAGGTCTGATAACACTGGGCAACAACAATAATACAACAATATTTATTTTTTGCTACTAGAAAAAATACAACTGTTTCTGGGTAACTTGACGATGTTGATTCTAAATATCCTGTTGAAAAAAAATTGATCACCTCCAGTTTTCGAGTTATGATATATTTATTCAAAATATTCTTATTTATCGTGTCAGAAATAACTTTCTGCCTGAAAAGCGTTCAAACTATGCTGTAATGATTGATGATATAATCGAGAGCTACAGGAAAATGGGGTATAGGATGCCACTAAAGATGCAATTCTTACACTCACATTTAGACTTCTTGCCAAATGATCTAGATGTAGTGAGTGATCAGCATGGTGAGTGCTTCCACCAAGATATTTCTACAATGGAACAGTGATATCAAGAACGATGGAATCTTGTAATGATGGGAGATTACTGTTGGTTCTTACATCGAGAAATTGAGAACATATATAAAAGGCGCACAAGTGAAACAGATATTTTGTAACAAAAATAAAAATTAATACATGATAAAAGTTTGGAACATAGCCTAAATGTATTTTCAGTATATAATCTTATTACACTCATTGGTTTTTTTAAACTGATTATGTATTGTTTTTGAACATTGTTAAATGCAACTTTCAATGAATAAATAAAGTTTTTGAAAAATGTTGTTGTTTGAGTACTGTTTCAAAATCATCATCCATCAATACTTTCCGAATTTTGACCCAACAAAGATACCTCCTTTCCTTTTTGCTTCACTAATTTTTGGAAACTTGTCAGATATATATGTTTTAAAACATTTCCATCTTTGATCATTCATTTTACAAATTCCTACATGAGTCCCACTTTAACATGAAGTGGGGCAGAAACATATTTTTAGGATTCACTAAAGGTTGATACTTGATATTCTGTTCCCTGGTATGTAATTTTCTCTCACTGACCATTCCTTCTGTTTGAAATGATTTTTATCGTCTCGGCTGTCTCATAGACACAAAAAAAACAACAATGTTTGGTATACTCACTGTGCAGGCTAAGTAGGAGTGCAATAACTTTTAGATCACCACATCTGTTTCACATATGGTGATCACATTTGGTGGCCTCAAGTATAAGCTGCATACATTGTTAAGTTTCTTTCATGTTCACAGCGTGAGCAACAAGATTCGATGGCTTAATGCTTCCATTGTGCAAAAGTACAGCTTTCAGACTAACTTTAGACTGGTCGATAACAAGTCTCCATTCTTGAGGATAATGTTCAATACATAATTTTTCCATTATTGCATCAACATTTATACAAACACACAAAATATATAGCATGCTGTAGTGATAAGCATGACTTTGATGCCAACTTCGGGAAATCGAAACTCTTGTTCCTGAAGCTGATAAATTCAATTGCTATAAACGAGAGCCAAAAAGTTAACCATGCTGCTTTGATAGAGACAAGTCACAAATCAGATCATTTAGATAATCTTGTGTGATCACGTGAGGCAGTACATGTTGAGATGTCACAGGAATAAATAAAAAGGATGAAGATAATTCATTGTCTTCTTAGCTGAATAACTTTTCTCTTTCTGTCGATGAATGTGGCACTGGAAAACCATCAAAATGAAGTACTGGTTTCAGTGTAGATGCAATATCTGGATATTTAATGTATTGTTTAGTTTCTTCATGCAAAAATAACAGTGCTCACGTCATATGATGGGAACTGATAATGGCATACTTGCTCTCTTCTTATTCAACCACAATGTCAAATATGATGTTCAAATTGTACAACACACGTGTGGAGCCAATTTGTTTTTGGTTACCAACTGTATACTCAAAATAGTGGTAGTAAGCTGTATAACTGTTTTCCATAAATGTAGCAGACACTGCTTGGGTGATTTTTGTATTTTCGGACTTTACTTGAAGTGGAGGCAGCTAACATTTCAAATGATTTTCTAAAATATAACAGTAATTGGTAGCCATTAGTATATAAGTGAATGCAAGTATAAGTTTTTGTTTTAGAGCAAAATCACTTTGGAATATCTACTGTGTCCACCATGGGGAATCGAACCCAAGATTTTAGCGTTGTAAGTCCATAAACCTACTGTTGATCAACTGGGGGACACAAATATAGGTACCACACAATGAAATATAATGACACCATGCTGATACCGGTCACAAAATACCCAAAGCTGCCAATATTTGCTTTAAAATCAGTATATTTATGTGTTTGAGTTTTTCTTTCATTGTTTTGTTATAAAAGTATAATCAAAGTAATATTATTAAAAACTGTTTAGTTTTACAGAATTTTTGGGGTGATGTTTTACTTCAAGTGAATTCTTTAGGTGCTCTATATTTAATAAATAAAACTCTGAAAATATAAGAGATTCTTCTAGGTCTGAAGGAATGCCCTGTTATAATAAAAGGAATTGAATAGCTTACAGCTTGAAAAATATCATTAGTTGCACACTTGCCTTTTTAAATGACATAGAAACAAATACAAAGGACACCGTCTTTCATGTGTAATACAAATCATCCAGTTTATACGGTACAACTTACACATGTCAAATATTAATATATGTTGCTTTGTTTTCAAATAAAAAATACCTATATTCGTAAAGAGGATGCTGTTGTATCGTAGTTGAGCTAACTAAATGTTCATTGACCAGATCAAGGTTTTAGTAAGAGATTTGGGGAGTTTTTTTCAAGCTTAAAACTCTACTCTTTGTACAGTTTATTCTAAATACTTTTTACCAATATTTTCATGACCAGCACAAAAGGCGCAATAATTTTATCAAAGCCAAATAATTTTATTAATAATGTTGAACTTTACAAAGCATGGCTAACCGAGTACACTCTAGGTTACTCCGTTTTGTTTGGTTAATATTTCCTAAAAGAAAATAAATTCCTGCAAGTCCATGTATTTCCTTGAAACAATTAAATGTTTTCACACTTTCAAATTCATCATATATCAGGAAAATTTGCGGGCTACACAATGGGCTATCTGTGCTCTGCCCACCACGGGTATCGAAACCCGGTTTTTAGCGTTGTAAGTCCGCAGACATACCGCTGTGCCAATGGGGGGCATATTGCAAGTTAGAGTCTTAAGCTAATAAAATATACTTCTTTCGGTGGCCTTATTTAATTACGTGATTTGAGCTAGATCAATATGCACTTCACTTTATGTTAAATGTATTTAAATTATTTCTCAAAGATTTCGTTTTCGTGAACTTAAATGTAATGATCGCTAATTTGTACACTGTACACTAATCTTAAATTTCATAATTGTTTAGTATTTAATACAAGTTAACATCTTAAAATTTAATTCCAGTAATTATTTGTTTGTTCACTATTTTCGTTTGCTAAACCTATTGGACTTTCCTCACCTTAAGATCAAAATCAGCCAAAAATACACTGTACTATTAGGTTTTGTAAACCAGTATAAATTTGAAGGGAAGTGGCGCCTATTGATAATTGAGAGAATTGGGTATAAGTATTAGGTTAATTGATGCTGGGAAGAGTGTTCGTCGTATATGACCACTGGTACTCCATTTTTGACATATATTTAAAGAAGCACCAACCGTTTATATGCATCTGGTGGAACATTTCGCCATTCCTCTAATAAAGATGGTTTAGTGAGATCACAGAACTTGTTCCTACAGTCCCTCAGGCAGTGACACAAAATATTTCAGTTATAGTGGGTTATCTGCTGTGTTCACGATAGGGATTAAACCTCGGATTTAACGTTGGAAGTCCATAAACTTACCGCTGTCTCCCCGATGAACTCTGCAACACTTTCGTGAAATCAAGAAGGAAGGATTTCTTTTCCGACAGCCCTGAATAACGTGGCTTGGTTCCATAGCACAACTGAAAGTTTTTTTTTGAATTGAAAGAGTTATTCATCTTGTAGCTAGATTCATATTACAAACAATAGTACATGTAGCAGTCTTTCCCCTTTTTTTCAAGTACATTAGC